TCACAATACAGTCTACCAGAATGAGCACATCAACCACACTCTAAGCTCCATAAAGGCAGGAACCTTATGGATATATACATCATTAGCACAAACTATTCAATTATTCAAGAATGTGAAGTAAATGAGTGAATAAATGAACCACTCCTACACACAGTGTACTTCGTCCTTACAGAAAGTCCATGTGGTACGTATCACAACCCCCTCTTACCCATCAGAAAACAAACTGATTTCTACTTACATCACACAGTATAGCCTTAGATCTTAAACCCCGTATTGGAATTCCGGATTCTTGGCCCTCTCTACCACATGCACAGGTACTGAACAAATGAAATGATTGCAGCCACCATGTTTTGGGGTGACTTTTCTTTAAAAATCTACCTCCCAACAGCCTCTGCCGAAGAGGTTGATTAGGTAATCATGTTTATACCCCGTGATGCTTCTCCAGGATACAGCCTATCGGCCCAGGGCTGGACACCCACAGTCTAAGGTTTGCCAATCCACTGACTAGCAAGGAAACAATCAGACTCAAACTTGGAATTTTTAACTCAAAGAACCAGAGGTCAGACTCAGTTACTGGGAGAGATCTCAACTGAAAAGTCATGCAAGTCTGGTCTTGAGAAACCACCACCACTCAAACAGGCTGCCGTCACGGTCAGACGAGAGGGGAAGGCAGGCTGGTTTGCAGGTACAAGAGCACAGCTGTGCTTTAAATCCGAATGGTAGTTGGGTGTGGTGGCTCATGCCTGTAATCCCAGCCCCTTGGGAGTCGAAGGCAGGTGGACTGCCCGAGTCAGGAGTTTGAGACCAGCCTGGCCAACATAGTAAAACCCTATTTCTACTAAAAATACCAAAATTAGCCAGCCGTGGGAGTAGGCACCTGTAATCAATCCCAACTACTTGGCAGGCTGAGGCAGGAGAATCACTTGGCCCAGGAGGCAGAGGTTGCAGTGAGCTGAGATCATGTCACTGCACTCCAGCCTGGGCAACAAGAGTGAAAGCCTGTTAAAAAAAAAAAAAATCCGCATGGTAAGTAAGACAAGCTGCTTGGCTCGTGCTGACTTTTGGTTCCTAGTACTAGCCCCACGAGGCTGATTTACCTCTCACCCCTGGGTTTGGTGAGATTTTCCTTTATTGCTTCAATAATTTCTTGAGAAAGTCTGAGTGAATTTCTGTCTGCCACTCACAACTCAACTGGGACTAAAGTATTAACCCTGGAGGGAAGTAAAGATTCTCAAATTCTTCCCAGGGCTTGGTTTTCTCACTTGTTTTTTTTTTTAAAAAAAAAAAACCGACGGACTAGGAGCTTAAAATTCCTTGCTTCCATGGAAGTATAAGAACTCCCAATGCATCATGCCGGTGCCCAAAGTAAGCAAAGACTCAGAGAAGGAAAGGTGAGGCAGGAAAAATTTTGTTGACTTATCTCCCCACTTCCTCCCCTGGCCAGCAGTCCTGAGGAGGGAGAAACAATCCTAGGAAGTTGGAGGCAGCTTTGCTCCACACAGAAATCAGAGTGACCAGGACCATGATGTCACCACGCTGCCAGAAATTATGCCTGCTGCAGAGGGAAGCCAATGCCATCTTTGAGGCAAATGAATGTCTTACAGAGAAGGCATCTCAGGCACTGCTGCTTATGTCAACGGTAGAGGAGTTTCCAAAGACAAAGTAACAATGGCAGCTGCATGCCCTGGTATGACTTGCTGGGTGGCGAGGCTACCAAAGCTATGAATCTTTCTGCTCTATGTGTCCCTGTTGATCAATGGAGAAAGACTCCTTTTCTGGTCTGGCCCTAGACCCACTGCTTGATCACAAATGCTTTCCTCAAAGCTACTCAAGTCTCACTTTGGGTTTCTTTGACTCCTGTTCTCTGGGATAGGCTTGTCCTCAGTCCCAGGTACACATTACCTTCCTCAGATCCTTTCAGCTGTTTCCTGTTCCCAAGTTCAATGGATCAATGAACAACATGAATTCCTACTTGCTGGAAGGAGAGATGCAGTGACAAGCTTCCCCACAGATGTTCCAGGGAGCTCTGCAGCATTGCCAACTTGGATTTCCACCCTTCCCACCACGATGGGCCCATTCGCAGCCTCCCTGCATGGCTTCTGTTGAGGGGAGAGATCTTAGCTCTTGGACTCTAAGGAAATTTCTTAACCTCTTAGCCTATTACTTCAGCCACAAATTGGTTAAGCTGCCTTCTACTGTGTGGCGTTGTTCCATGATATCCCAATAGAATGATGTGTGTGAAGCCTGTGGCCTGCCACCTGGTGTTTACAGACTCAAAGTCACCTTCCATGCACATCTGTCTTTAGACCAATGAGACCACAGAGGGGCTCTGATGAGCAGGCAGAGCCAGAGGTGGCTGGGTACCCCTGTGGACACTCTGCTTGAGGCACTCCCAGCCAAGTGAGGGGGGACACAGGCAGAGTCCTGGCACCCTGTGGGCAAGGCCAGGCTCAGGGAGGCAGCAATGGTGCTGGCAGGCCACTGCCCAACAATGCAAATGGAAATGCCTCAACACACCCACTGTGTCCCAAGGTCAAAGGCATCACAATGGGGTCTTTGTTCCTGAGTTCAAAAACCTCACTCACCACTCCTTCCAAAGCCAGCTTGCAGGATGCACAAGATGCCTCCTCTGCCCCACCGTCAGGCCTCCAGCTCCCCTGAACTAGGAAACCACCCTCCCAGAGATATGCAGTTTGGCCCTCTTCCTTTCTCCCTCCACCTACTTCATTTCTCTGGTTAGGCTGGTTGTGTACTCCAGGCCTCCTGGTAGATAGCAACAGATGGGTTTGAACAGGCAAGCACAGCACTTCAGGTCCTATGCAAACATCTGCAGCTGAGCAGCTGCCTCATTCAAGGGTAAGGATACAAAACTCCCAGAAATAGAAAAGCTGTTCAGGGAAGCTCTTTCTACCCAACATTCGGGGTCCCACCAAGGCTTCCAGCCTCGGAGTTCACCTGAGAGAGGCTCAGGGAGGTCACCAGCTCCAGCCCCTGCTTCCAACCAGCCACAAGGTTACTTCCATTTTATGGAAGGAATAACTGAGGCCCAGAGAAGCTAAGGGACCTGAAGCCCCAGCAGGCAGTGGCAGCTAGAATGTGGCTTCTAAGAACAGCAGCTCCCTTGCATAGTCTGTGTGCCAGACCGACCTGCTCTGGCCATAGGTGGCCATGGGGAGCTGGGGTGCCTGGGCCACCTGTCACCATCAGCAGCTCCTCAGGAGAGCAGGCGTCTCCCCCTTTGTCAGGGCTCCTTCACCCAATCCTAGGCAGGACTCCAGTGTCCCAGGGTCCTGGAGATGGGATAGGAGAGGAGAGGGCACACATGCCCTGGGAATCCTGGGGTTTCCAGCAGGGTAACTTCCTCTTCTGTGCTGTCTCCTCTTCAGCCATCCTGGCCAGTGGCTGGTGGCCCCCAAAGACATGGGGGCTCACTACCTCCTGCCTCTCAAGGGTTAACAGCTATGGTGTGACAGGCAGGCATGGTGGAAAGACCATCCCTAACCAGAAGTTCTGAGAAGAACCAACCACTTTTCCTGATGCAAGCTCTGCAACAAACATCTCCCTCACCTGAGGTGTCCCATGCTACCATTAGAGATCCATCACTTGGGTCTTCAGGTGCTGGGGGTTTCCAGAGCCAGACCCCCTGACATCACCAGCTTGCTTTGGAGGCAGAGAGGTGGCACCATGAGCATGAAAAAGCCACGCAGGGAGGAGCCCAGTGTGGGCACCTGGGACAAAGGGTTGAGGCCTCACAGCAGGGACATGGCTCTGCAGGGGGCGGGGGGGAGGAACTGCTGCTGCTGACCACCTTGGCGATGACATCTGGCACAAGGGCAGCCACGGCCTGACCTGAGAGGGTAGCAGGCGCTGCAAAGACCTTGGAGCAAGAGGGCCATGAGTCAGGCCTATGCCTATATCACAGTTCTCCTGCACCCACCACCCCCAGGAGGTCCACTGGGATTTCCTCAGCATTCCCACAGCTCCTGTCCACCTGGAGGCACAGGAGTTCTGCCTTGGCCCTCAGGAGACTCGCTTCCCCTCAGCTTCCCCGAGCCTCGGTTCGTGTCTCTACAGAGCAGGCACTGCCGTCCTTCACTTCGCCTTTCCTTTCCCAGTTTAAACACTGGAAAGGCACAGAGTGGGGCTAGGAGAGGAGAACAGGCCCCTCCCCTCTGGAAGTATCCACCATTCAGGAAGGCTCTAAACACAGGGGCCTTCCCCACAGCAAACCGAAACCGAAACAAAACACCCCAGAAACCAGTGCGAGCCCTGGGAGACTGTGGGCGGATGGATGTCCTGGGCTCCAGCTCCATCTCGGGCTGTCAGGGGACCGAACGGGCCTGGACTGACGGGCTTGGCTGTCCTCTCTCCACCTGCCATGACTCCTGCTGCCAGGGACACCAAGGTACCTTGCCCCCTCCGTGGCACCCCGAGAACCAGCAGCCTGTCAATGCAGGACCCTGCCTGGCCTGGGCGTGGCTGCAGCCCCCTCACTGGGCTTGCTTCCCAGGTCCCAGGGCCTCCAGCTCGGCAGGGGGCAATCAGCTCCCCAACCAGACCCCAGCCAACTCCCCCAGGCCTGGCCCTTCCTCAGACAACTCGCCAGGGACTCTAGACCCCACGGTGTGCCCTGTCCCTGCCTGGACCCTGGCTTGGAACATGGCCTGTGGGGGGTGCTGTTGTTGGGCATCCCTGAGCTGAGAGCTCCTGCCCTACGATCTTCCGAGGGCACGGGACCCCATCAGGGCTGGCCGCTTATTCCCGTGCTGCGCCTGGCCCTGCATTAGCAAAGGCCGGTTAATTACCCCGAGCAGGGGAGACATTCTTCCACCACCAGGCAAACTGCTGGCCTGCCGCCCAAACCAACAGGGGGAAACTTCAGCCGCCTCGGCCCTCTTTCTGCCAGATGGAAATAACGTATAGCTGCAGCGGTGGGGGAGGAGGCAGGAACAAAAACCAGACCGGAACCCCAGTGGACAGCCGGCGGCCAGGGCACTCACCGCTCTCGTTCTTCTCGATGACATCCACCACCTCCCCGGCCTGGAGGCTCAGCTCCGAGTTCTCCTGCTTCTTATAGTTGGACACCACCACGTACTGTTCCAGGATCATGGGCTCGGCGGTGGCGTCGGCACCTGGCGAGGGCAGAAAGCACGCGGTGAGCCAGCGGCCGGCCATGGCCCCGCGGCCGGGGCGCCCCCTGTCCATCGGCCTCCTCTGCGGAGGCTGCTCTGTCGCCAGTGCCGCTTGCAGGGGCAGCCCGCAGCCGGGGCTCGAAGCTCACAGGACGCCAAGGACAGGCCATATAGCAAGGCCCCACACCGGCCCGCTGCACCGCGGGGACCGGGGGACATGGGGAGCCAGGGGGCCGGGGAGGGGACGGGCAGGAGGAGGAGGGACGACAGAGGCAGAGGCGGAGGCGGAGGCGGAGACCGAGGAAGCTCAAGAAGAAGCCTTGTGCTGTGAGGAGTTAGTCACAGCCCGGCATGAGGGAGCCTACGGGGAGGCCTGGGGCCAACGGGGTCTCTCCAGCCTCCCTCTCCGGCCAGCAGGGGCATTGGGGAGGGCAGTGAGCCAGCGGGTGGGCGGCCCATGAGGGCTGAGGCCAGAGGCAAAGGAAAGGCAAGCAGGAGGCTCCAGCCTCTGCCCCCAACCCCTGCAAACCCGAGAGAAAAGGCAGCCCCGCTCCCTCGGGCGGGAGAGGGAGAGGAGAGAGCGGGAGAGAGCTTCTCCAAGGCCCAGGCCCAAGCGAGGAGTCAAGAGGGTTTGAGGCCGCCAATCACTGAGGTTTACTCGCAACCCTTAAATAGAAACACATGAGACCCATCGAATGAGGAGCCGGGGGTGGAGGCAGGGGAGGGGGAGGAGGCCCAGACTGTTTACTTGAAACCCAAGAAGAAAGTCCCCGCGCGCCAGCGGCTGGCGAGCCCAGCCCGCCCCCCGCCAACTTTTCCTCAAGTTCGCTCGGTTCCTGCCCCTTGGGCTCACCCAGGCGTTGCCACTCAGCCTAGGCCAGGTGCAGTCAGACCAGACTCAGGCCTGCCCCCAGCCCTGCTTCCAGAGAGGGCCCTCTGGCTGCAGAGACTGACTCAGTTTCCCCCTGCCTTTCAGTGCCAGGGCTTGTGGTTAGGCTCCTGGCAGTTTGAGGGGTCAAAAGCTGGGTGTAGCAGAGGGAGACCCCCAGGAGCAAGCAGCTTCTCTGTCCTCCTCAGCCACCAGACCAGCGTGACATTCGCTAAGCAGGCACTAGGCAGGAAGGCAGACAGGCCTGGTGCTGTCTTAGCTTCCTAGCTGTGTGGCATTGGATGTTGCTTAAACTTCTGCACTTCAACTCTTCCATCATCATTATTAGGGTGGGGGTGGGGATAAGACACCTAAAACATGATGTGTTTTTAGCTAGGAGCGAAAAGGATCCACTAGCCAGAGATGGACTAGTCACCTCCTATAGGAAGCCTTCCGAGACCGCCCAAAGAGAATTCCTAGTACACTTTTTTTTTTGAGACAGGGTCTCTCTTTGTTGCTCAGGCTAGAGTACAGTGGTACAATCGTGGGTCACTGCAGCCTTGACCTCCAGGGTTCAAGCAGTCCTCCCACCTCAGCCTCCCATGTAGCTGAGACCAAAGGCACATACCACCATACCTGGTTAGTTTTTTAAATTTTGTTTTAGAGATGAGGTCTGACTTTGTTGCCCAGGCTGGTCTTGAACTCCTGGGCTCAAGTGATTCTCCTGCCTTGGCCTCTCAAAGGGCTGTGATTACAGACATGAGCCACTGCAATGGCATACTTAAACTATATGTCTGCCAATCTCCTTGAAGGCTATGGGGCTTCATATCAGTAGCCTGGCAACAAAAGTGGCTGAGCATCTCCAGGCGCCACACATCCCCCTTGGCACCTCAGCCTACAGCCACATTCCCCACACACCTGAGTCTGACTTGGCAAATGTGATGTGCCAGGCACATTAACCGCCCCACTTCATGCTCACAACACCCCCCTTATCTTCCCACTTCACAAAAGACCAATCAGAGGCCCAGAGCAGGCAAGAGACCACTCCAGCTCCCACAGCTGCGATGGAGAGGATCACGTTCATTCGGAATGATTTTGTTCAGGCTCAAGCCCATCTGTCTTTCCACTGCAGAATAATTGCCTCTGATTTGTTTCCATCAGTCTGGTTATTCTAGCACAATGATCCTCAACTTGGTAGCACAGAATCACCTGGGGAGCTTTTTAAACCTACTGGTGCTGGGCTCCAGAGACAGGTTTCTTTGGTCTGGGACCCAGGCATGAGTAGTTTTTGGACATCCCTTCTGTCCCTATGGTGCTTGCATACAACCAGGAGCAAGAAACACTTCTTAGATCTTTGGGTCCTTCTGTGGGGGAGGCTCCCTCCAACCTCGGGCAGACAGCAATGGCCACACAACTTGGCGAAATCCCAAGGGGAGGCCTCCTTCCAGGGAAACAAACCCCACTGCCCCCGGCCGTTTTCTCCCACGAGGTGTGGGCCCTGCAGGCCCGTCTCAGCCCTTTGGAGAAGCAGAAGGGACCCTGCTGCAGCTGAGGGTTCGCACGTGTACAGTCCCGGGCAGCCCCTCTAAAGCCGGGATTGAATTACAGACAGAAATGCAACCAACAGCCGGGCAGCAGGGCCTGCTCCACCTCTGTACTCAGGTGTGCCAGCTTCTGTGCCTTGCCCTGCCAGCTGGGCAGAGGCAGCACCGGGGGCTGTGCTGACGACTACCTCCCACTGTGCCCCCGGGAGGATGGCAGTGCCTGTTCTGTGCCTGGAGCCTCTGTGGCCAACAGCACTTCTTAACACACCCAGCATCCCTGCCCTGCGAAAAACGGGGGCTCCTTTCCCAGTGTGGGGGCACTGGGTGAGAAGAGTGGGAAAGAAAGCCTCCAGCAACAAACAGAAGAGAAAGTTCTGTGGCAGGTTAGAGGGCTTGCCAGCCCTGAGTGTGCCCAGATCACAGCAATAGTGACAACGAGCCTTCATCAGTGCTGACTCCGAGGCACCCCATAGAATCCAGCTGTTCCATCCAGTCCTTGGAGCAACCCCAGGCAGTAGGTCCTGTGATGCCCCCATTTTACACACGGACAATTCAAGCCTCAGGAGGGTAAGTGACTTCCGTAAGGTCACACAAAGCCCACCTGACACCACTGCCTATGATCTTCCGAATTATAAGTGGTCTACAACGGGCCGCTGGTGCCTGGTCCCCGGGGAAAGGGCCCATTACATCCCAGATACCTGAGACTCAGTTGCTTCTTAATAAAGACTAGAGTATGGGTTTCTTTTTTCTTTTTTTTTGAGATGGAGTCTTGCTCTGTCACCCAGGCTGGTGTGCAATGGTGTAATCTTGACTCACTGCCCCCTCTGCTATTCTCCAGCCTCAGCCTCCCAAGTAGCCAGGATTATAGGCACCTGACACTGTGCCCAGCTAAATTTTTTTGTATTGTTAGTAGAAATGGAGTTTCGCCATGTTGGCCAGGCTGGTCTTGAACTCCTGACTTTAAGTGATCCTCCTGCCTCAGCTTCCCAAAGTGCTGGGATTACAGGCATGAGCCACTGTGCCTGGCCTAGAGTATGGGTTTCTAGTTGACCCTTGCCACCTCTAGTGATCAGACCACAGCGCCTGTTAGGTGGCAGGCACTCAGTAAGTGTGAAATGAACAGGTGAAACGCAGGAACTGGCAGAGAGATGAACAGAGGGACTTGCTGGTTTGTGGAGTCAGTATGAATCCCTCGACTCTGAAATATGCAAAAATGAGAAAGCCAAACTCAAAGGGAGAAAGGGGAGATGAGGAAACCGAGGTAAGGAGGAACAAGGAGCCCCAGCTTTGTGGTCAGAAGATGTTTGGAGGATGAGCAGGAGGTGCTGGGGAGTGGACAGACATCAGCTCATTTTAATTCAAGCCAAGAAAATCTGAGGCAAGGTTTAACCCCACACCCCCACATCCCTCCCCCCACCACCTTCCTGGAAAATTGGCCTGAGCTTCCTGAAGGCTGACTTTCTGTGACACAGGTAGAAAAGTTAAGGAAACATTCTCTAGGCATTGGAAGGCACAGACAGGCTACGACCCCTCTCAGGAGCTACTCCAAAAGCTGTGGGATGGACACAGGGACACTCTGTCTTTCTGGCTGCCCTCCCCTCCCACCGTGCAGGCAGCTCTCAGCTCTTCTCTCTGGCAGCTGCCTCTTAGGGTGTTTCCTGGCCAGGGCAGCTGGGTGGGCAGGAGCTGCGAGCAGGTATCCAGATGAGAAACCACTTGCAGGCCAGGCAGGCGGTGGGCGGTGATGTCATCCCACAGAGGCCACTCTGGATCCCCTCCCAGCCAAGGCCTGCAGAACTGGGGGCTGGAGGAGTCGGCCTGAGTGGGGAGGGGGCCGTGGAGGGAGCCTGGTGTCTTTAGATGAGGTGTGCTTGGCAGGAGCATGGAGCAGGGGTGTACCTCTTCTAAACAGCAGAGCCTCTCCTAGGTTGTAAGGGGTCTTTGCATGTGTCTCATCCAGGGGTAGACCCTTGTGCTTTACTGAGCCCCTGGCTGGACCTGCTGGGGCCCTGGGAGTCCCCTGGACCCCTGCCCCACCTTGCCTCACATCTGCATTCCTCCAGCTACCACCTGGATGGGACCCTGGCTGCCAACTGAAATTCTCAACTAGGCTTTTGCCAAGTCAGTCCCATGCTCCAATGCCTTCCATGGCTCCCTGCTGCCTATAGAATAAAGGCCAAATTCAAGTTCAGTCTTTCTTGCCAATCTGAGCTCCCCGAGTTCCTTGATCCCCATCCCGCACATCACCAATCCATACAACATTTATGATTAAACACACATGTTATCAAGCACCCACTAGGCGCCAACACCCAACACCACTGCTCCATGCAGCTTACTTTCCAAGCCTTTGCTCTCACTGCTGCCCCCTGCTGGAATGCTTTCCCTTCTCTCTATCAATCCCAATTCTCCCCAAGCATCTCTGCCCTCCAGGAGGCTCCCGATCACTGTTCGCTCTCTTCTGTTCCCTCCTGGATTTCATGCTGGGCATTGCTCCCCAACCAAACCATGTGCCTTGAACAAGAGTCTCTCAATGCCCCAGGATTGGTGCCACAGGACATGACATGGGACATAGTAATTACCTGAAATTCACGATGGAAATGCTAAGAATTCTAATCTAAAAGTCTGAGGTCCAGTCCTGCTTTGCCCGTACTAGCTCTGAGACCCTGGGGAGGACATATAACCTCTCTTGAGCTTTAGCTTCATCTGGAAACAGGAGCAATAGCAGTTCCAACCTCATGGGAATTGTTCTGAGCATGGAATGGAGTGACAGGGCTTCAAGTCCTATGGAAACCATAGATGGTCATTTTAAAGCAAACAGAGGGAATAGGAGACCCGGGGAACAGCAAAGGTGTTGGTTCCTTCATGGGCTCAGAACCAGCAGGCAGCTCGATGCCAGGGCTACAGGTGCCAAGAGAAGGGTGGAGAATGCCTGGGGGGTGGGGAATGCCAGGCTAATCAACCTGAGGCCCCTACAAGGGTCTTGAGCATCAGCCCTTACTTCTACTTTTCCTATCTCATATCTCAAAGAACCCTCCAACACTCCAGATGGAGAAACCAAGGCCCAGAGAGACTCCAGCCCTGGACTCCCGGTCTGGCTGGGTTTTCCCCCAGCCCACACTGCCTCCCCAGGCCTCTCGCTCCAAACAGCTGGGTTCATATTCAGACGTGGTTAAGTGTCCTCCCCAGGGACACAGAACTAGTAAGGCCCTGTGCTGGCTTCTACCCCAGGCTCCCTGTGACTCCCCAACTCTGGGCATCCTACAAAAGTCCCTCTAGCCCCTTACAACTGGTTCCTCCCAGGCCGGACTGGGACTGCTGGCCCCTCAGCTATACGTTTGGTGAATAAAATGTATTGCTACGGGCCAAGTGGGCTCTGGCTCACTGGCGTGTGGAGAGGGGAAAAAGGGACAGGAGCCCAGCGATTAGCTCAGGCCCAGGCCGACGTCACAGGAAACTCCAGAAGGACGATTGCAACGCCCTCCGACCCACTGCCTTCTCTCCTCCTCTGGACTCCTCCCAACACATTCACCTCCCATTCCCCACCCACAGCTGTGGCAGGAGGGGCTGAGCTCTGGGCTCTAAACCCTGGGGCTTCTGCTTTGTCCCCCATTTTCCCAGCCTGAACCTCCAGCTCACAGGTTTGGAGCTGGAGGGTCAGGGTGTATAACAGTCTCAGAAATGGAGGGGCTCCAAAGAAGACCCTTGTAGAAATTCCATCCCTCCTCTGACCATCTCCATCCAGGAGCTGAGAACCCAGCTATCTGGGTTTCTCTGCCATGGTCCCATAAGACCCAAGGCTGAAGGCAAGTCCCTGACCTCTGCCCACCTCCTCCCAGACACAGGGCAAGACCCTAGTCCCTGAGGGCCATCTCAGCAGGCAGGCCCAGCTCTGGATTGCTGGGCATGGGGGCTGTGACCCACCCTCAGTCAGTCACAGAACTGCCCCACCCCCTGCCCCAAACCTCCAGCTCCCTGGTGAGATCACTGGAAACCAGGCTTGGGTGTCAGGGCCCTCTGCTCTCTGCCTCAGTTTACCTGCCTAAAGTGAGATGAACCATCTTTGGCTGGGCTCTCTTACTGGAAAGGCCAACTGAGATAAGGCTGAAGATGGCGAAAGCCCCACCAGTGCCTAAGCACTTTCTGTGTGCCAGGCTCCCCACGAGGTGGGATGGCTTTTCCTTAGGAGGTTACGCACCCCACCCAAGGCAGCACAGCCAGGCCGTGGCAGAGCTGGGATTCAAACCCACATGCCCTTCATCCAGAGCACGTGTGCTTACATGCTGAGCTACGTGGTCATTGTTCAGCTGCTCAGCAAAGGGCCCCACATTTGGAGAGGCAGAGGGCAGAGCAAGCGGCAGACCCCCCGCCATGATGGCAGACAACTGCTGGACATCACAGGGAATCATGCGGAGGGCCTGCAGGCACCGGCTCCCGTGCACACAGGCCTGGGACACATGCTCACACGCATGCATGCACGCTCAGCAGTACCTGTCACGTCTTTCTTGGGTGACTCAGCCCAGCTGGACAGCCACACTTCAGAGTCCCCGAGAGCAAGCGGCAGCAGGAGAGGAGAACCAGAGAGAGAACTGTTAGGCAGGCAGGAGATCCACAGTGAGTGGCTGCAGGCTCCGCGGCAGGCGGAAGGCGGAGGAGGGAGGGGAGTGATTTCCTGGCCCTGGGCTGGCTGTTGGGCGGGGGCCTGTGTGATTAGAGAGGCGCTGGGACACAGCCGGCTGGGACAGGGATAATGAGGTGTCTGCTGAAACACAGGGCTCCTCTGGAGCACAGAGAATTCTACACAATCCTCCTTGGAACAGGGCCTGTGGTTATCGTAAGGCAGCCTGACCCTTCCTCTCTGGCCATGTGGGTGGCTGGGTCCCACAGGGCCTGGTGGTTCCAAGGATCCTCAAAGGCCAGCGGGCTTAGTGGCCTGGACCCAGAACCTCAAATGTCAGGGTTGGAGCACCCAGGGCCCATCTCCAGGTCTGGGGGCACCACACCCACTGGACCCTGATGTGTCATCCAGCCCTTACCGCAGCCCCACCCATCGAGGAAGACAGATCGGCCCCAGCAGAGCAGAAGGGAGCATCATTTTAGAGTCTCGTTCCCCAACCCCAATGCAGAAGGACAGGGACCTTGAGTGACCAGAAGAGATGAGGGCTCTACTCTAGGCTCACAGTGGTCTCCAATCTGGGCCTCAGTTTCCTCACCTGTGAAATGGGATTTAGACTTGTCCTCCTGCCAAGAGGAAGGAGCAAACTCAAAGCAGCATAAAGAACATATGATTGAGATGTGATGCCATTAACATCTGAATGAGGCAGAAAGCTCTGTCTAATCAATAAACCATGGATTAGCATTTCTAGAATAGAAGAGAAGAGGGCCATCGTGTCAAGAGCATTGGTGCAGTTGAACTACAGTGATTCATTTCGCCCCCATGGCAATCCCGTCACGTGGGTAGGCATTTTTAGCCCCATTTTACAGGGGAGGACTCTCAGACATAGAAACAGGTCTGGTGGCATCCCCGGGCTGCTGCTTTCTCTGCTGGGCTGCTCATCACCTCCAAAGGAGCAGAGCACTGGTTGCAGTGGGGACAATTACAAGGCAATGCTGAACTGCAGGTCTGAGAGACAAACCCTTACCCTGCCTACCAGGTGCTTGCCAGGAGAGCAGCCTGACACATCCAGAGAGTACTGATAAATAGCAGCAAACACTTATACAGCATTTTCCCTCTGCCAAGCATCCCGCTGAGCACTCTGCATATAGTAACTCATTATTTTTCCCAACAAACCTACAAGGATGGGTACTAGTATCCCCTCCATTTTGCGGATGAAGAAGCTGAACCAGACAGGTTAAATAACTTGCCCAAGGTCATACAGCTAGTACAGCAGTGTCCCTCTCTTGCAGGGACACACACCTCAGCTGATCAGAACTTGATGCTGCTCTCTATTTTAAGCACCTGACTCTTTCCCTCTCTCAGCAAGCCACCTTCCAAATGCAGGTTGGCTCCCAGGGTAGAACCAGGAAGCCCGGCCCCCTTCTGGTTCTCACTGTAAATTAGCAGAGTGCTAGCAAGGCCTCTGGGGTCTGACTGCCTGGGTTCAAATCTAGGCTCTGCTCCTTTGAAGAAGTGACTTACCCTCTCTGAGCCTGTTCCTGAACTTGTAAAAATCTGGATGATGTGATACACTTACCTTCTGGGTTGCTGTGAGGATTAAATTAGATAAAATGTAATAGTGCCCAGTGCAGTGCCTACGACGTAGTCAGTGCTCAGTAATGGTTAGCTGCCACTGGCAGTAACTCCCATGAGCATAGTGAGCATGAGCCTACCTCCCTGGGTTCAATCAGCTCTGGGGACACTAAGAAAATCATGCCCCGAGCTGCAAGGACAAGAACTAGACAGTGTTCGATACTGGATGCACCAAGGAAAAGCTGGCACCCTGTTAGACATACTGCCCCACAGTCACTCTTAGACCCTGGGCCATCTGGAATGGAAGGGAGAGGGACTCCTGGGGACCTCACCCAGAGACAAACTGGGCAAAGTCTGAGGTGAGACCCCCTCCCCAGGTTCAGCAGTCAGCAGCTGCCTTGGGGAGCAGAAGCAATGCTGGTGCAGCTTTCCAGCCCGGGTAGGGCTGGGACAAGGTAGACACACCAAGGGCCATGAGGGTTTCAGCCGGCGTGGTCAAAGAGGGCTGAGTCCAGAACATGGGTGTTGCTGCCTAGTGCCCACATCTTGCTGAAGTTCCAACTCCCTGCTGCTGTACCTCAGAGATGCGGCCAAGTGGGGTGCCCACTGCAGGGCCCTGAGATGCCTCTGAGCGGGCCTAGCACCAGGCCCATCCCAGCCCCATCTGGCCCTCTCTCCACCGCAGTTCGCTTGACCACTGGTCTACTCTACTTTGCGTTCTTCACAAGGAAACCTGAGAAGCACTAACCACTCTCAGTGAGCCAAGGAAAGGTGTTTGGCTTGAGCCTGGAGAACCCAAGAAGACCTGTTCTGCTTGACAGTGCTTGCAAAGGGCCAGAGAATAAACACGGTAGGCTTTGGGGGCCATATGGTCTCTGTTGAGACTACTCAACTCTATTCTTATAATACAAAAGCAGCCACAGGCAATACATCAAACAGTAAGTGGCTGTGTTCCAATAAAACTTTATTTATAAAACCACAAGCCGGTGCAGGATGTGGCCTGTGGGCAGACAACCAGAGTTCATGCCTGTCCCCTTCAGCCCCTTCCCATATCTCTCCCTAAAGGAAAATGGGAAGCAGACCAGAAGTAAGCCTGTCTTTCAAAAAAGAAACCTCTCTAAAACATGATTTAGTTCCCAGTCCCGACCTGTGGAATTAATCCAGTTCTGCTGTTCCCACTCAAAGTCCCCCACTTCTGTCTAGCCCACCCTAGCAAGCTCTTGAGGGGTGCGAAGGACCCCTTCTCCCTCATTACAACGAACAGAGGAGAGAGCCCCTGACTCACAGACCCTGGCCCTCCAGCCAGGAGGCAGACAAGGCTGTCGGCTAAGGGCTGGGAAGATGCGGAGTTGGAGAGACAGAGAGACGGGGTTGGAGGAGCAGAGAGGGGCACAGCCAAGCGAGCAGCTGTGACTGACATGAACCAGCTGCTTTCTGCATTCCCGTTTCTGCCTCCTTCTCCTCTGGTGACCCAGAACCAAGGGCCCTACAGAGCAGGGTCCCAGGCCTGCCGGAAAGTGAAGGGTATCAGACTGGAAACCTGCACCATGGCTCTTCTGAGAACGCACTGTGTGGTCTTGGGCAAGTGGCTTAAATACTCTGGGCTTCAGCCGGGCATAGTGGTTCACTCTGTAATCCCAGCACTTTGGGAGGCCGAGGTGGGCAGATCACTGGAGGTCAGGAGTTCAAGACCAGCCTGGCCAACATAGTGAAATCCCGTCTCTACTAAAAACACAAAACTTAGCTGGGCATGGTGGTGAGCACCTGTAATCCCAGCTACTCGGAAGGCTGAGGCATGAGAATTACTTTAACACAGGAGGCAGAGGTTGCGGTGAGCCAAGATTGCGCCACTGCACTCCAGCCTGGGCAACAGAGCAAGACTGTCTCAGTAACTAACTGAATAAATAGTCCAGGCCTCAATGCTTACATCTGTACAGTTAAGCATTTAGGCCTATTGCCCCTGTCTGACAGCCTGCCTGAGGCAGTTGTCTGATGTTCTAGATCTTCGAAGCAGAAAACTGGTAGTCTCCATAACGCAAGGGCACCACAGCGGAAATGAATCTTTCCAGAGAAATAGGCTGCCCTTCCTGGGAAAACCACTTGAAGGCAGGCTCAATTGAGGTAACTCCAGTCCAAAATAGCAGATGATTCAGGAGGCACAGAGGGCAGAGATCTAGAGCAAGAATAAAAGCAACTTTGGTTCTTGTGTTGGCTTTGCACTTAGCTTGCTGACTCTGGGATAGCTGGCAAATCTCCGAATCTCTTTTCCTTCTTTAGTCAATGGGGAAAAAAACACCTGCCCTGCCTTCTTTGCAGGGTTAAGACTGAAATGGCCTAATGTCTAGGAGAGTTTTTGTTTGGAGGGCTGGGAATTAGGCCTTTGAACATGAAGAGGAGTAAGTGGTAGGGGCAGAGCTGAAAGCAAAAGCAGTAGGCTCCTGGGAAATGGCAGGCACGGGGCAAGGGTCTCTCCCTCATACAGCCCATAGCGTTCATGTCCCTGCCATGGCTGTACCTCCTGGCATTGCTCGCAATACCAGCAAGGAGCCAGGCCAGGGGAAAACCAGGGGCCTGCAGATTCCAGCCAAATACAGGCACCCAAGGGCACTCAGATGCAGAACCAGATTCTTGACAGGCCCAGGTGATGCTGAGAAACCAAAGAACAACACTGCAGGTGCCGCTGACTTTAAGGACACACCCCACTGCCACCCAGCACACATACACCCAAGGACTTCATAGGAACACCTGAATAGGCCTAGGTTAAAAGAGGGTCCTTCAGAGATAACCTCTGAAGATGGTATCTCAACTGTTCACCATCAGTTACAGGTCAAACTGCTGGTTCTACTCTTTCTCCCCATCTCACTACTGCATTTGACTGGTCTTAAAAATAATAATAATAAAGGTGGCTCACATCTGTAATCCTAGCACTTTGGGAGACCAAGGTAGGAGGACTGTTTGAGCCCAGGAGTGGGAGGATTGTTTGAGCCCAGGAGTTGGAGACCAGCCTGGGCAACATAGTGAGACCCCATCTCTACAAAAATAAAAATTTAGCCAGCTGTGGTGGTGCGTGCCTGTGGTCCCAGCTACTCTGGAGGCTGAAGTGGGAGGACTGCTTGAGCCCAGGAGGTCGAGGCTGCAGTGAGGTATGATCATGCCACTACAATCCAGCCTGGGCAACAGAGTGAGACCCTGTCTCAAATTAAATAAAAGTATAAATTAATAAAGAAAGGGGCCTTATAGATGCATAGTAAGGCTTCTTTCAGCCTTGAGTAACTCCAGAGCAGTGAGAATTGGGTTGAATTTATCCAATCTAGTCTCAAACCATGTTTCCAGGAATGCTTCCCTG